TGCATTCATGTTGGACCTACTTTATGTCGCCTCGCTCCTCCTCTGAATCATCCTCCCCGTTGTCTCATCTTGTGTCTCTGGTGTCTCGCCTGCGTGGCAGTGTCTCGCTTTTTCGAATACTTGTCCATTCCCAGGGCCTTATTTGAGGTGTTTTCGACATTTTTTTTATTCTTTTCTTGATTAGTACCTAAAAGTCCACGCATTGACTAACGGAATCGGTTGCGAAGAGAGAGAGAGAGAGAGAGAGAGAGAGAGAGAGTGAGTGAGAAAGGAAGAAAGAAAGAAGAGAGAGGTTTCTAAATAGCAGAAAGGAGATACGGAAATATAACGGTGGTATATCCTATTTGTGGACCAGTAGAACTTCCAGAATCACCAGGTGCTGTCGAGGATCCGAAGAAAGACGAGCAGAGCCCTATTCCAAGAGTTGAAATCACGAAGGGAAAAGGAAAGGAGAGCTGAGGGTATGGTCCTATCAGAGTCATCGAATTAAGTGGAGAGCCGTTTGCCTAAGGAAGGGCCATCTGAGCACTTTCGCTGGCTTCCGTAGTTGCGCGTTTTACAAATCTCACTTAGTGAAAGCCTGTGAACTCTAAAGCTGGAGCAAGCTCGTAGAGCCACCGTGGTAAGACCTGTCAACGCTTGTAAGTTCATGAAATGGCTTTTTATAAAGTCGCTTCGTCGATGGGAAGTAGCAAAAGCGCAAAATGCACCCCCACCCTGTCGCCTACTTCCCGAATCAAACATCATCACTATGTATATTTCACTCTGCTTCGGCAGTTCAATTTTATCGAGTTGTGTTCCACCTAACCCTCTTATTTCAGTACGAAGGTCGAGATAGGATATCAGCTCTTGAGGCAATGCATCACAACTTCCTTAAGGTCCTTCCTATCAAGGTAAGGCTATTTTTACAATGGAATTTTTCGTTCGTTCAAACAAAGCTTGCTGAGTAGCTTTGATTCTACGTCGGGAACCCCCGCGGGGTTGGTGGGGGGGTCCTGGCTAACTGGTTCGAGAAAGATTTCCTAATAGTTGATATTTCCTGCTTCACGGGCACTATTCACATTGTTGGGAGAATTCTAATGGGAAGGTGTAGGGGGAGTAAAAGAGGACGAAATTTCGAGTCGATTTTCCAGAAGTTTTCCCCAACGGCAGGGGTTGCCCTGATCTCAGATGCTGATACAGTTGTGATGTTCAGGTGATGACGTTACGTGACGATGAGTCGGTGATGGATGTGGAAGGCGTCTCACTTGATCGTGAGATGATTTACAAAGACCACAATCATCTCCAGAGGCCTTCGAAGTCAAATCGGCGACAGAGCTTACTGATTTGACTTGTGCAAAGGCGATGGTAACCGCCAGGTATTCATCTCTGTCCACGTCCTCAATACTGCTTCGTGCCACAACAGTTTTCCTCCTGTTTTGATCGTGAGCCCCTCATTAGTACGGGTCACGATCGTAAGATCTTCTCGTAAGCAGTTTCTGTTCCATATATTTATCGTTTTTGCTTTCGTTTCGATCTGAATACGGTGTCTGGTGTTTCGAAGTCAAATTAATCACCCGAAACTTGTCCACGTTGTATTACTTACAACACAATTCTAACATAGTTTATTATCTGATTTATAACCAGAACGGCTATCGAGCAGGTACAATATAACCCATCATACATCTGATAGATGGCCTGATGGTACAAACATGTTCACGAACGGGTAGTGCAAAGAGACGACCTCATGGGTCGCTGAGGTGGTTCAATACTCGAGCCGGGCAGTTCGACGTGTGCTTCTTATTCAATTACGCTGTCCATATTTCATAGCGCTAATTTTTCTCGAGGAGCCATCCCTCGAGTGTTATCCCTATTTCGGAGGCAAATCCTTCCTTGTGACCGCAGGTCACAATTCTAGCATGCAGTTTCAAGTAAATATGGCACACTTGTACTCATAGGTATGAGACTGGTGTCAGATCTCGCTTCCGAATGGGTGAGGCACCTTTCAATGGAATACTAGTTTCGACTTGTGACCACCACTCTGAGTGGACACGCGAAAGTGAGACAACCTCCAGGATGGCGTGCCCTCCCGGACGGTATTTTTCGAATCTACGCATGATATCCCCGTAAAACAAATAATGGAGAGAAAAGAAACGCATATAGATGGAGAGTTACCTGTAAAAACTTCAAAAGCAGATCGTAGCCTTGGGCATCCATCCGTGGTATTTGTCGAATTAACGGCTCCGGATGGTAGACCTTCTGCGCAAAGGGGGCATACGCCGGACGGGCACATATAGTCGCATGACGATCACCACGTGGTGATCCTAGTGTCCTGAAAATAATTTTGCCAAATATGAAATTTCAAGCAAAAATGAAAACACATACCGAAAAATAAGGCCAAGTTGCTCATCAGTCGTTGAACCCGGAAATAACGCACGACCAGCAACCATCTCGAACAGAATGCATCCGACACCCCACATGTCAATGTGTGTTGAGTAATCCGTTGAGCCTGAAATTTCATTTCTGAGTACAAGCGAGATAAGCCCTTCTAAATTTCTCCGACTTTGTCTTCATAGGACGGACAGTTGAGTGTGTTATTGGCGGAGAACAAGGACGGAAAGTACAGCTAATTGGGGACCGCAATCCTTTATAGCTAATGAAGTGATTTTGTCCTTCAGAAATGCAGCACAATTCAGGCACAATTGGGCCAAGGAAATGCGCTTGAGTGAGCGTAAATGTTTTCAACGTACGTCTACCATAGTAGCGCACAAATATCTGTTATTCACTTATTTCAGCGACTAAAATGTTCTAAGGTAATAACTACCCATCTACTCTGACCAAAAACTAGTGCCAGTGCATTCCGAATGGGCCCAACAGAGCCTTTCAATCACCCCTTCAATGTGTTCAGACGAAAGTCAGCCTGATTCTGAAACATCCAAAATTCTCAGTTGCTTCAACCAGCCCCTTTCAATTTTAACCATTCAAAGACGATTTTGTTTGTCTACAGAAGAGCATGAATACCCTGCCACCTTCAGTGCCAGAATAGTAATTATCAGGAAAACATCAAAAAACTGTCAAATTTGCGCGATTTCCTTCTTCAGCCCTTTACAAATTTACAAATGGGAACCCAGTTCGTGCCACAGACAAGAAATCGCCGGGGCGAGTCGTCGCTGCGCTTCAAGTTTCACTTTCTATAGAAGCATGTCTGAGAAAGAATTTAACACTGCCTGAACATGTTCTCGCCTGCACAAAAGATTTGTGAGCAGTTCACAACCATTATGGACTGATCTGTTTAAAGAAAAGATTTGAGCAATTCCGGGAATGCACTGCACTTCACAAACGTCTTTGCACAAAGCGAGCGCCATATTTCGGCTCGGGAGCTCTAACTAACCCTAGAACCAAAGCCCAAGTTCAAAACGGTGCCTTGACTTCAACAAAGTGGCGATTGGGGTCTGCCAGTGGTCCTTTAGGAACGAATATACAGGGAGGGGGCAAAAAAATACAATTGTCTTCCTCGCATTTCGAGACGATATAATTTACACTTTGTTGAATCTGCTTGCACATTTCCACCATCATATACAACAGCACGTTGTGTGCTATCACGATACTCCGCCT